TGCTCCAGGTGTTATGCTAACGGCAGCGAGTGCTTGAGCAGAATAACTATAACCGCCGTCGAAATTAGCCGAGCTTGGCATACTCGTATCACCTATGCCGTTGTTATTATAAACTTGTGAAAGAGCTGTGTTTGTTGCATTACTCGTACATCTGGATGGGCGTATTGTGACACTATAAGGAAAAATATGGAAAAGAAGAAATAAGTCGACCTAGTCCCCCGATAAGACAACGATCCTCAGCAAAATGCGTTATCGATTATAAAACTTTTTCTTTCCTGGATCTTTAACGAACAGAACGTTTTGTCTAGCTTTTAACAGAGTCCGCATTTTACGTTTCAAACGCAATTTTGTTTCTATTAAATAAATTTGTTTAACAATCGCCTATTTAGTCACAGGCACCCAAGTGTTGACAACTTACACTGGCTTTTACGATGAGTGCAGTTCTCTAGACTGGCTATCTGTAGCTGTTCTCTCAACTCATGTTGAGAATATCACAACTTATGCACCACTGAAGACTCACCATAGTATTTTGGTAATGTTGGGTGTACGTATTCCCAACATGAGTTGAGAGAAACGTTTCAAGAAGCCAGTCTCGAGGGCTACGCTCATAGTAATAACGAGGATAGACGCTAGTGCACACAGGCCTTTGCGCGCCTGTATATCGCAGTGTAAAAACTCAAGCTTTTTAGTATGTCTTTGGAGGGCACCTGGTTCTGAGCGGAAGTAATTGTGAAGACCAGATTTTGGTTACGCGTGAAACCATCTTTCCAACGGCTAAAACCCTATCCGTGACATCATGGATGACTGCGTCCCGCGATTTCGAAGAACTATGCTAGATAGCATTTGTGCTGCTGAATAGTTGTGAATGCAGAGCATCGATAGAAACCATGCGTATGGAGGGCAAGATTTTTCCTGCCCTGCGGTGTATGGTAGGGGAAGGGTGATCTGCACATGCCTAAGGAAACCTGTACGCTAAGTAGGTATGCACTGGTTTTTAACTGGTTTTGGTGCATCGTGGCTCATAGCTGAGAAACATTTTGTAGAAAAATATTCGCCCTATCAAACGCATTTATTAAGAAGATTCCAAAGATATTTCTGACAAAACTTAGGGCATTCAAAAATGCACGAGATCTCGCCATCACTATAGTTGATGGCTTATAATATCATGAAACAATTGGATGAATCGAATAAGAAAACATTGGATAACCGATACGCAATAAGAAAAGTAGCATATCAGTTTTTAAAATGACTAACCAAAAGAAATTGATCAGTGTCAGCCCTGATGAAATTCAAGCACTTCAGAATTTATCGAAAGATAAAAGTATTGTGGTGATGAAAGTAAAATTGATCAGGATACGTATCATCGATTATAAGCATATGGGACTAGATGTGCGGTGGTGTCTGTCAACCAGAACTACACAAAAAGCATTACCAAGCAGGCCGATAATTTCAACAAACACATATAACTATCAACTGGCCAAATATTTGGGTGACTTAGTCCATCAAGCACAATCAACACCACGAAAATTTACAAAAGACTCATTCGAGTTTGCTAAAATGATACAACAACGAAAGGTAGACAAGAATGAACTAATGTTTAGTTTGGATATCGAAACAATTATTCGACTAATGTTCCATCTAGATTTTACGATCAACTATATAAACAGCAAGACGGTGTCTCTATGGAAAGCCTTTTGGCTCCTATAGTGGCAGAAATCTTCATGGAACACATAGAGAATAAGATTGAACAATATCCGAAACAACATAAAATCAAGATCATGAAATGATATGTTCTTTATTGGAAAACAAGATGATGCTGAAAAACTCTTGGAATGGTTCAATCAATTATATAATGAAATAAAATTCAAATGAGAAAAATAATGAATTACCATTTCTGGATGTTGAGATTATAAGACAATAGACGAGGTATAAGATAACAGTAGACAAAAACCGACACACACTGGTTTATATCTCCATTGAGCGAGTTTTCAAGCACGGAAGTACAAAATTGGTCTAATTAAAACACTGATCACCTGTACAATCAGAATAGGTTCATCAACAAAATTATTGAAGGAAGAGTGTGAACATATTGAACAATGTTTAATAAGAAATGGGCATCCTAAACGTCTAGTAAGAAGAAAATTTAAATATACAATTAAACAACAAAAATAGCAAGCTCCAACAAGAATAAAAAACATCTTTTTTACATCGCTGATTAATTAATAAGTAATGAAACAAAAGTCATAGCAGAGAAACTAAAGAAGATGCTTGAAAAGACTTTCCCAACGACAGAAGTGAGGTTCGGATTTAAGAGAGGTTTAACGTTACGGAAAATGTTCATAAAGAATTATAAAGACACTGATGATACAAACACTGGAGTAGAGTACACAATTAAATGTGATAGTTGTACACAGGTATATGTTGGACAAATAAAGCTGAAAGTGATGGACAGAATGGAACAACATCGAAATGCGTTAAAAGAAAAAGTAAAATGGGCGGCTGCGGATCATATGCTCGACAACAAAAAACACGTCGTCAGATTTGATCAACCCATTATCATGGCACGTGATACAAACTGGAAAAAGAGAAAAATTAAAGAAACGCTAATTACAACGAAGCATCAGTCTGCTGCCTACAATAAGATCAGTCATCGGCTTATGGTGTTTATTGATCAGTTAAATAACCAAACATAGTTTTAAGTTTGAGTTAAGTTTTACGTTTAATAACAGTAAATTTCTGCCCTCTCTCACCCTAGCGTACATATATATATACTGTGGATATTTCGTAGAAGTGTTCACTATTTTCCCTAACAGAATAGAAAGGAATATTCTTAGAAATATCTACTACATTCAAACAAGAGAAGAAAACAGAAAAATGAACCTACATATATATATTGTATGTGCTTTTCGTCTAAATGTAGCTGACGATGATTACAGTTGTAATCGAAAGCTCCTGCTTTAAATAAACTTTTTAAGCTAACGATTGTTGAAATCATAAAATTAATCTTTCTATTAACTAAACGTGCATCTCGACTGTCGCATTTTCCATGCGTAGTTCAGTGAGTGGTGCCTGTAAAGAATATAGTACAATAGAATTTGTACGATATAAACGTTGATTAGTAAACCCCCACCTCCATAACAGAAGACCGGTCTGGAGTGAAAATCTTTGAAAAACGGTAGGGCAGTTTTTCACCTAAAAAAGTGCTATGTGCAAAACCATAATAGAAGGTCATGGCCTTCTATTATGGTTCGCGCGTCGCACTTTTAAAAGTATTCTTTTTCAGATACTTTTAACACTTGAGTTCGCTGCTTCCAAACGTGACCTTTTCTCAGAAGTATTCTACTGTGCATCACTCTTAAAAAAACTTTCGTTGCTCTCCAATATAAAACTGACCTTTCTCAAAACTATCCAGCAACAAACCGGTCGCAATAGAAGTTTGGCTACAATTTATTCTTTAGAGTGTGGTGCACTGTGAGCTCACACTTCCTTTCACCATAAGTTAGTCAGTTAATGATACCAATATGGGTGTATGGTGAAGATCACAAAACTAAAGTGATGATAAAACAAAAAACCTTAATTATTTACCTTAATTATTCTGCTACTTATTTTAGCAGTGTATTATCTTCTACGAAAATAAACGGTTAGCGTTAATAGCATCGAATAACTTATTTTGAAGTTCTCGTATATATCTGTGATATCCACGTCTTTTCTTCTTTTCAACCAGCAGTAAATGCTACTATCCAGCAGACTGAAAGTTCTCGAACTGATAACTGAAAAACAGATAAAGTTAACACTACCTTCCGTCTGTGCATGATGTTTCAATTGGATTTGTACCGATTGCAAATATATGTAGATTTGAATTAACCGGCAATGTAATTGACTGAATTGTTTTTGTTGGATCAATTGTAAATGCTGAAAAATAAATGCTGACGTTATGATTTGCCGAAGTACATGAACCACCACTGCACTGATCCCAAATTGTCGTCGCTAGTGTTTCTGTTCCACTTGTGGGTGCATTTCCATACCAATCATTAAATGTTAATTGAAATGTTTGTGTAGTAGCGTCATTGTAAGTAACGATAATGTTTCCGCCTTGTAGTCCATTAGCACCAGCACCCAAGAATCCTAGAGTATAGCCCATCATGCCA